AGTGCTATTTTTCCATTTCCCATATAACATGAAATGATTGAGCATGAGTAGCTGACATTTTATAATGACATGTAAAAGGAGACAGTTGCAGCAAATGAGAGTACTCCTGAAGGCATATTACTGACTAGAGAGCTATAAAAGGACAGCCTTATATTGCCTCAGAAGTATGGCCTCTTCACTGTTGCTTAATAAGCAATGCAAGTCTGCATTAATTCCAGAGCAACCATGGCTTCTTCTAAGCCCAATCAGAAAGAAAGCTGCCTTTTCTATCTCCACATACCAAGGGCCATTGCATGAGAATAGGATGACGTAGTGCATACAGAGGTTAGATATGTTCCAGGCAAAAGTCATCTGAGGGACTGACAACCAAGCATAGCACCATTATACTATATAATTGGTACTGCTTCATATGGACAAGATTAGTCAAGGACATGCTTATACTGGACTGCTACAATAGAGCTGCTGACATCAGGCTATGTGCATCTGCATTAGCACATGTGAGATGTACTGTCTTGCATTGGCCTACAACAGTCAGCACAATGTGAAGTCATGGGATTGTCTGATTTTATCTTATTTTCTACTATTTATCTAGCATTGCAGAGACCATCAAAGACTTTGATACACTATGTGTGGTAATGTGGTGGCCCCACTTTATGACATTGCTAGCCTATGAAGTTTCTCACAACAGTAGTAACTGCATAACACAACTTGTACAATGTCTTTGTATCACTTTTTAGGATCAGTACAGTGTGAAAAAGATCTGTGGACCCACAATTCTGATGGCTATGCTATTGACATGTGACACAGAGTGAGTATCATGAACATGCTCAGCATGAACTGTGCCACAGCCTTTGTGCCACAGGTGTCCACCATTTTCTGAATACGCTATAGCCTGCCCAAGGGTTTAGACAGAAGCCAATCACTACTTACAGCAAACAGTACAAGATGAGCCTGAGTGGAATCATTCAAAGTATTGTCTTGTTTTATCCGCATTTTCTGAGCCCAGACAAGCAGGTAACTCAGACTTTCCATTTTGGGAATGTAAACTATCACATATAGCAGGTTTGGTCACACAATTCATAGGCAGTTGGTAAGCATCACAGGAAAAACAAACAATGTGAAAGAACCAGTGTTCACAGAGCCATATGCTGGTGCTATATTTGTATGAATCTATGGGAAAGCATACTATGTAAAGCCTCTCTGGCATCATATACATGACTAGAATTTTCCCAATTGTTTTTGATTTTTTGGGAGACCATAGCACAGCAAATACAGTGTCACTAATGAACTTGTGGCTTGCATCCAAACTCAGCCCAACAGCTTGGCAGCCTCCCTTTTCAGGGCCTATTGAATAGCTGAACCAAACAGAAGATCCTGTCTGGAATTGCCAGTCCCTGAGAATCCCAGGTGATACTGATTCTTACAAGATGGACCAAGACTCACTGACAGAGTGGCTTACATCAGGCTATGCATGGGTCATTCTGCATTATTATATGTTTTCTGCCATATTGGAGCCTCAACAGTCAACTCAATATGAATTCATAGTACTATCTGATTTTTCTCTGATTTTCCTGCTATTTATCCAGTCCTGCAGAGGCCATGCACGGCCAACTTCCCAAATGGGCAGGGGACTGACCATATATGGCCGTTTTGTATGTTTGATATCCCCCACTTCACAGAGCCTCTCATACATGTGGAACTGTCCAGTACAAGCATCATACACACACCAAGATCTGCTTATATGCCTCAGTATCATCACTTATGATGGTCAGTACTCTCAAAGACACCTAATCTGGACACTGCTATCAGTACCCAAGGGGCATCCCATGGAGAAGCAATATTTTGGGATTTTTCCACATTCAATGGGGCTCTAGTAAGAGCTCAGGTAGTGTGGCTTCAAGCCATCAAAAAACTCGGCATGAAGAGCTGAGATTGAAAGATTACTTTAAAAGGTAACATTTGTCAGCATTCCAGCCAATGGGAGTGCTCCAAAATCCCTTTTGAGTGACCGGAGTCGTCGACAGGCCGTAATTCCGGCCTGTCGACGACTCCGCTTCGGCAACGGGCGCTTAGTAAGCGATGTAAGTTCAGCCTGTTACTGCAGCAAATCTGACTTGTTTTGGGCTCAGAAAAGTCCAGGAAAATCGGATAATATTCCAGGAGATCTGTGGAGCATTTATGAGCATATTCACAAGTAGAGAGGATTGTCCTGTATAGTTATTCAGTGCTGGGACATCAACACATGCTTGCTATGACAATATTTCTCCATTCGTAGCACTGCTGTGCATGTTTCAGAGACATCAATGTGTTGGAAACTATACACTTGGCCATAGAGGACATCTGTCATGTGTCTCAGATGCAACAGAACACATTCATATTCACAGAGTCACTTCTGTTTTTTATATTAGCATTTTGCTACTCATTCAACCACTTCTTTCAAGAAACTATGATAGACACTATGAACAAAGGGCTATGAGATGAGCTTATGATATCTACAACAGTTGGTTGGAGCTCAGTCACTGACAGTCAGTGTATCCCAGTCAAATGCTATCATGTCTACAGAGGTAGGGGTGTTTCTCTGCATTTTGAATTTTATACATGGGCAAGCCATACTGGTCATAGCCTCTGGGGGTCCTATAGTGGATCAATTTCTTACATACAGCAGGTACTACAAGTGGGTCCGGTTGCACAGAACTTTCCCTGGTTTTATCTGCATTTTCTGAGCCCAGACTGAGCAGCTGCATTGGAATTACCATTTGGGGAAGGTTAGCTACCCTTTATGGCAGGTCTCAGATGTCATAAAGACATACAGAATCTATGGGCAGTCTACAGGCTTCAAAAGAGTCACTTTGAGGGTGAAAAGGGATGCACTCATGTGCACAGAGGCATTTGTGTGTTTTTTTATTGTGTGAATTGTGCCATAACCACTGAAGGTAATGGGCAAGTCACAGCAGCTATAGACTCTATGACGTCATACCTATCACATAGATTATTTTGGGAATTTTCCGCATTTTAGTGGGGCCACAGTACAGCAGGTACAGTGCCACTAAGGAGCCTGTGGCTGAGATTCAAACTCAGCCCAAAACCTCGGCAGCCTGCCTGATTAGGGCAGAAAAGGGGCTGTTGCACCAATCAGAGCAGCTCGGCATCTCTCTCATGCCGTTCGGAGGTGCAACCGTGCCAAATTTCCGCACGGATGCACCTCCGAACGGCATCTGGGCGCTTAGCGCGCGCTTAGTAAGCGATGTAAGTGCGGACTATTACTCTGCTTATATGGGCTTATTTAGACCCAGGAAAAAGCGCAAAAATCAGAGAATATTGGAGATGGACCAGGGAATGTGATTGAATCTGTCTATGAGATATGCTTGACATCAATAAAGGCAGCATTTCCAATAACTGTGTAACATCACTGATGTTACCTCAGTGAGCTTATTCATACAAGCCTGCTACTTGACTGTAGGAACCACTCATGTAGTTGAGGACACCCCATAGGATGGTAGTGTAAGTACAGATGCATATATGTATTCTGTGCTTGCGTCTGTGTGCAAGACAAAGCCAGTGGCTGCATAATTGCCATATGAAGTATATTGCCTTCCCAAAGAGGAATCATACACAAACTGGTGAATCTGGGGCTCAGAAAAATCCAGAAAATCTCCGAAATATACAGACACATCAAAGACAAGTGCATGGTTACTTTTAGTCCCAATTTTGGTCATTACATGGTGTCCATGGGCCACAATATGGCAATGGATGGTAAAATGACCCATTGTTGACCTTGGTAGCTCTGTTATAGAAATCACTGAGCAGTACACAGTGCCTAAACCACACATATATATCACAGTGTGCATACAGAACATATTTCAGCCATAAACAAGTACTTTGAATCTGCAGAGGCACATGTGCATTTTTATATTTTGCATTTCCTGGCCTAGCCAGCCACTGTATGCACTCAGTAAAATCCCTGTATACTCTCTGCATGAAGGACTATCAGATGAGTATACTATGTATACTATGCCTTGTTACTGGCTGAGACTATATAGGCCCTACAGTGTGTGAGCGCTTGCAGCATTGAGCCACCAAGCTGCCAGTCACATGATATGTTCACCAGTTTCCTTATTGGTGGAATTGCTAAGGCGTTTCATGGGCCTCATATCCATAACTGAGCGCTTAGCCACTGCATTTGTTTGTATCTGTTGGTCCAAGTCGTGTCGTCTGGGAGTCTGAAATTTAAGACTCAGATAAGCAACCTATACTAACAGTTACTTATCTCTGCTTATCGGGGTGGCTGCATGTCACGTGCACTGTGGGAACAAACTGCCATTCTGGAGGAATCACTAAGGCGTTTCATGGTGGTCCATCATAAGAACGATACCTTCGTACCTCAGGGATCGTAAAACTCATATATTGGATAACTTTTCTAACACCCAGAGACTGAGCACAACTCTCAGCTTATGTCTGAGTTGATTAGCACTGACAATCCCTCCAACTCAGTCAGCGATGACAGTCCCTCTATATGAAATGAGGTGTTTCCATCACCACCAAGACCATAATTGTGCACAGGGACCCGCTTGTCTGTCCCCCCGGCGAAAGGATGCTCTCTCTCGGGCCGGGACTTCGGTCGTTTGCTCGGCCCGAGACTTCAGCGGTTTGCTCGGCCTGAGGTTTCGGGGGTTTGCTTGGCCCGAGACTTCGGTGGTCTTCTCGGCCCCAGAGTTCTGCGGTGTGCTCGGGCGGAGAGGTTTTGCACATGAAGAGACAAGGAGGGCGAGAGTATGTGTTGTGGTCAATGCCATTGAGACATTATGGGCCAGGGTTGGGCTTCTTGGGGTAGCTTACTAAATCTCCTCGGTGTATGTACTCGGTGTTGTCTTCCAGGCAACCCTTCAGCACCATGGTCGGCCAGAAGCTTGAGTGTGCTGCTCGGCAGGCCATGGTTGCAACATACAGTCCTCAATTCAGCCAAAGTTCAATATATTCCTTAACATACACTGCCGGTCTCACTATGTAAAAATGTTCGGGTCAGCATAAACATCCCTATACGTCTGCTGAGCATCTCGGTATAAATGGTCGTACATTGCGGCACACTTCCAGCAGTACGGAGCGAACCCTGCATAATCATTGCCTGGGTGCTGGATAGCCCGGTCCCTCCACATCTCGGCGTGGTGAGAGAAATACCTCCCCACCGAATCAAGTTCCCAGCGTAAGATGCCGGCCTCTTCTTTGAGGCGATCAACCTTGGAGTGTGCGTGGAACCAGTGAATTCGGTGAACTATAATACTGGTGAGACATATGGCGGCCACACATGGAGTGTACTGCTCACTGATTGAGAGTGTATCATTCCTGTCGAGATCTCCTCCGACATCGATATTCCAGACCCATGACGTCAATTTGTGCCTCTGGCCAGGCTTGTTTGGTTTGGTGATGGTGGTGGGTGGTGACATTGAGGTCCTCTTTGCTGAGACACTGATACTTGAGTTGCTCCTCCTCTGATAGCCCGAGGACCACATCAGGAAAAACACTTTTGGCGCCAAATGGTTTGGGATTTTTCCCAATTAGCATGAACTGGGATATGAGCAACAAAGAGCGGTTTATGACTGACAAAACTCGGTTGAGCAGCTCTGCATGCGGTCTACATATGTCAATACATCCATTCTGCAGTTCTTGACACCACTAAAACTACATATCTGCTTCAGTAGCTACTATAAGCACATAATAATTGATTGTACGTCTCAACCGTTCACTACGCTTCACAAGCACACTCGTCTCAAGCTATGGGATTTCCACCACATTTTCAAGCACTGTGAAGAGTGTACATTTTATGTGCCTCATTATAGTACATTGTACATGACTTTTGAGACCTGGAACACTACATGTCTGCACAATACAACCAGTCACAACGTTACACAAGCATCCGCCGCCCCTTCTCACTCCTCCAAACTGTTGCCGTTCTTCCCCTCTGACTCGCCGCCGCCTTCCCCCGTCTCCGAGCCAGCAGCGGTAGTGTCCTCGTCCCAGATGCTGGGACACGTCACGACTTGTTCTTTGTCGATGGTCCACTGCGTGTCGGAGTAGGTCCGCGGGTACTTGAGGTCCGTCGGGCGCAGGAACTCAAGATGCGGCGAGAAGTTCGCCAGCATCGAGCAGAGAGGCGGTAGAGGCAGGAGCCCGAGGGAATAGTCTTCGGCCTCCTTCCGTGTAACTAGCACATCCGTGCACTTGAAGACGGGGAGCTGGCGGAGGGGGAGAGGGATTCTGATGCGGCCGGCTTTCCAGGTGGTTGCCAGGGCCTGAACCCACGACCTGCTGTTGAGGTGTAGTACTCGAATTTGGCCGGCGGGTCGTCCTGACGGTGTTGGCGTTCCCTGTGCCACGGAAGCTCAGGGAACACCTGGGCGGTGATGGGCTGACAGAACTTCAGCGTCAGCATGTTCCCAGTCACCTCAGAAATGAGGGGCAGGGACATGGGCAAGCATTGTCCTATAGTGCGTCCCATAGCGCTACCAGTTAGATAAGCGTAGAGAATGCAGAAATATCGAACGTACCCAGTGAACACCAGCACCTCCACCACCCTCAATTCCTTCTCCTTCCCCTCATCGTCGGCCTTCAACAACTCTGGTATCGTCAGCGGGTGGTAGAAGTCCTTGATGGCCCCCGGGAAGAGCCAGCCCTCCAGTGTCGGAGGGTCCTCGAGCTCTGTCAACACGTCCAGCAGGGCCTCCCGCTGTTGCATCACCGGCTGAAGCCAGTACGACACCAGTGTTGGGCACTGTGACGACGGGAATATTGGACACTTGAAAGGAATATTAGTGTAACCTGAATACAGAAGACGAGGATTATACGCACATAGTCAAAAAGAATGCCAAAGTGTTCGCCCTCCAGGCAGAGAACGGTGATGTGCTTGATCATCTTGCGGTGGGGGCAGACGGGGCTGCGTGAGATAATGCTCAAGTTGGAAAGGACTATCTTGGAGGCGAAGAAGAAGACACGTTTGTCGTAGGAAGCCATGTCGAGTAGCGAGGTGAGAACAGAGTTGAGAAAGAAGTCGTGTTTGAGTAGTCAAAGATAGCGTTTAGAGGTTGAAGAGCATGGAATGACGGCCACAGAGCGTTCGAAATTAAAGTCCCACGAATAGGCACTCAGCCACAGGTGCCGCACCGAGCACGCCATACAGCGCGAAGTCGCAGGTAGCTACACAAAATGACGAGTAGAGTGAATAGAAATGGATACATACTTTGGTAGTCACTCAGATATCACTGTCTGAAGGTTTCCCAAGTCACGGTAAGCTGAATAGATATTTGACGCAGAGTAGTACACGTTGTTCCAGGCTCAGTCTACATTGTACAAGGTAAATTTGTTACTATACTCTACACGCACACGGTCCCACCACTCAAGCAGCCGCAGCCGCATCTGCATCCTCCAGCCCTGGGTCAACCTCCCAGATCTCATGCCCTTCCTCACTGAACCCAGGGCAGGTCGCGATGATCCCATCATCATCACGACCTACCGACCACTTCGCCTTAATGTACAATGGAGGGTGTTTCAGGCCACGCGGCCACAAGAGCTTGATGTGGGGGATGAACTCGACCTTCATCAAGCAAATAGCCCTGAAACCCCTACCGCCGCGCGCAAACTGCTCGGGATGTGGCATGGTCACGATCGACGACGGCTTGAAGATGGGAAAGTGGCGAAGGGGAAGGGGAAGATAAATCATGTTGTCCTGATGAGTTGAGGCCGGGACACGTTTCCAGGTTTTGAGTTCGAGGTTGAACATATTGAACACCTGGGGACGGTACCGCAGGGACAGATTCCTCCACCAGCAGAGGCCGTAGAAGACCTGGGCGGTGATCGGCTGCTGGAAATAGAGCCGCAACCTACCCACCTCTACCTCGACGACCAGAGGCAGGGAGATAGGAGTTGTGGCCTCCTATAATTTGTTGTGAGTTATGCAGAGAGTGGTAATTTGTCAAGATACTAGATGCACCCTGACGTATACTAACACCACTATCACCCTTCGTTCAAGTCCATTTCCTCTGAGGCTAGGTGGCAACGAATACTCCCCAAATGCCGACTTGATAGCCCCAGGAAAGAGCCATCCCTTGAAGTTCGGGGGCTTCTCCGCCGCCTCCAGTGCATCCCTCAATGCCAACCGCCTTGCCTCCTGCGGCTGCGCTTGGCAAGCCCTCATGGGCAATCCGACGTAAGATGCACTGGACACTACAACCAAGGATTCAACGGCCATTTTACAACAAGGAACTGTTAGTACTCACGTAATCAAAAACCTTCCCAAAGGACTCCAAGTGCTTGTCCAAGCAGAGGACCGTGACGTGTGAGATCGTGCGCTCCAAGTCCTCGGGGCATGATCGAGCGAAGATGGCAATGGCTTTGAACCGCTGGATGTAATGCCAGATGATGTGGTAGAAGTGGTAGTCAACGAGGGCGGGCATTGTGGAGAGTGAGATGAGTCAAGAGAGTATGGTTAAAGAGTGGTTTCAAGAGCGTTGAGAGTGCGAAATGACTGCCACAGCACGTTGAAAAGCTCCCACGAACAAGCGCCCACGGCCACACTGAGCGCACATTGTTGAGAGAATCAGGACCGGAGACGGGAACACGTTGCGAATGAGCAGCATAGTATAAAATCATGCAGGTCCAATACATTGTACATACTTTTGTCAGACGCAGACCACAGTACTATACACTATTATACCGCCAGTGCATCTTTAGTAGGTCACATGCCATGTTCACCACTTTCCATATTGGGCTCCAAGCTAGATGTTACAGGAGGCCCAAGTCCATAGGGAATTGTCAGCCACAGCACTTGTTTGGGTGTGTTGGTGCAAGTCGTGTCATCTGGGAGTCTAAAATTGGAAACTCAGCTAGTCAACAGTTACTTACCTTTGGTTATCTGGTGCCCAAACAGTCACATGCACTGTGGGAAAAGCCACATTGGGCTCCATGCTAAGTGTTACATCCTCTCCAGTCATAAGAATGTTTCCTTCATACCTCAGGGATCATAATTCAGATTGAATCAATGTTCTGACCTGATGCCAGGAGTCTTGCAGGGTGCCAAGATCCCCCCTTTGTGCCTGAAGGATGTCCCTTGAACTGACATGAGTTAACATGACCCAACTAAGCCCACATTGTACCTGTGATGGGAGGGGCCCAGGCTGAAATCACTTGCCACCCCAACTACTAATCATGTAGGGATGGTAGTATGCTGTACTAGAAGATCAGTACTGATCTGCACCAACACTACTGTGCTGAGAATCATTACTGCCCTGATCTGTGCCAGTGTGTGCATGGTCATGCCAGGACACAACACCAGATCTGACTGGTCATGTACAGCGGCAGCTGCAAATTCACCTTGCATGGCAGCTGCACAAATGGTTGTGTGGGTTGGCTGCAAACTGGCCATGTGGGGTGCCAGCTGCAAACTGTTCCTGTGGGGCAGCTGCAAACTGGCCTTCTTCAGTGGCTGTGTTGGGGTCCTGATCACCAACCACAAACTCCCTGAGTTGTGGCTCTTGCTGTGTGAAGGGGAGTACATTGAATGCATTTGTGAGGCCATCTCAGTGTGGGGCCACAGAGTGGTCGCATTGGCTCTGCACTGCACCCTACACACCCGTGACTCAGTGACTAGTCTAAGTAGGTCAACTTCATACTCACCTGCATCACAGTGGGATCATGACTGTAGTCATATCCTGTCACTGGTGGTGCTTGATCTCTTCAAGTCCAAGTTGAGTCAATTGCAGGTTTCCCTGGATTGAGATCTGCCATGTGATTTGCATGTACATTCTTCAAATTGTCAGTGATCCTGTGTGATCAAGCAGAATATGTTTACAAACACAAGGCTCCTTTAGCCTCACAGGGTACCTATCCTGATGATTGTGTGAGGAGGATGTGGGGGCACTATGCTCTGACATTGTGCTGACAGTGCTGGTGAGTGGTGAGAGACAACATGCAGTTGTGGGTATTCATGACTGCTTCCTGTGACAAGATGAGATGAGATGAGACAAAAATAGCTCATACTCAACTTCAAGTAGTGCATAGCATGGGTATACCCATACCCATCACCTTCAAAGGGACTCTTTTGATGCCTGTAGACTGTCCATAGATTCTGTATGTCTTGGTGACATCTGGAACCTGCCATAAAGGGTAGCTAACCTTCCCCAAATGGTAATTTGTCATGCAGCTGCTCAGTCTGGGCTCGGAAAATGTAGATAAAACCAGGGAATATTGTGTGCAATTGGACTCACTTGTATTACCTGCTGTATGTAAGACATTAATTCAGTATGGAACCCCCAGAGGCTATGACCAGTATGGCTTGCCCATGTATCAAATCCAAAATGCAGAGAAATACCCCTACCTCTGTAGACATGATTGGGTAGCATTTGACTGGTATACACTGACTGAGCTCCAACCAACTGTGATAAATATAATAAGCTCACCTCATAGCCCTTCATTCATAGTATCTGTCATAGTTTCTTGAGAGTGGTTGAATGAGTAGCAAAATGCTGACATAAAACAGAAGTGACTCTGTGAATATGCATTTGTTCTGTTGCATCTGAAACACATGACAGATGTCCTCTATGGCCAAGTGTATAGTGTCCAACACATTGATGTCTCTGAAACATGCACAGCAGTGCTACAAATGGAGAAATATTGTCATAGCAAGTATGTGTTGATGTCCCAGCACTGAATAACTATGCAATCCTCTCTACTTGTGAATATGCTCATAAATGCTCCTCAGATCTCCTGGAATATTATCCGATTTTCCTGGACTTTTCTGAGCCCAAAACAAGTCAGATTTGCTGCAGTAACAGGCTGCACTTACATCACTTACTGAGCACTCATTGAAGTGCCCATTGCCAAACCAGAGTTGTCAACAGGCCAAAATTCTGGCCTGTCACTCCCATGGGCTGGAATGCTGACAAATGTTCCCTTTCACAGTAATCTTTTGTAAGCTTGCTGTTGGAGTGAGCTTCACTGAGAAGAGGCACGTGGTCAATCAGAACAGGACCGTGCTGTATTGTCTGAAGGCGCGACAATGGGTACATATGTAGGTACACAAGAGGAGGATACAAGACTGTCCACTCAAGGCAGAGAGGCCGCACGTATGTACTTGAATGTTACATATGGTACCGTATTGGGTAAGCTGCAGGTAGCAGGCTTACATCTTCCAATCTCAGCTCTTCGTGCCCAGTTTTTTGATGGCTTCAAGCCACACTAATTGAGCTCTTACTAGAGCCCCATCAAATGGGAAACAATCTCAAAATATTGCTTCTTCATTGAGTGCTCCTGGGATACTGACAGGGATGTCCAGATGAGGTATTCTTGTTCTTTTGCACAGAGTACTGACACTGCCATACATGGTTAGTCCCCTGCCCATTTGGGAAGTTGGTGATGCATGGCCTCTGCAGTACTGGATACATAGCAGAGAAATCAGAGAAAAATCAGATGGTACTATGGATTCATATTGGGTTGACTATTGAGGCCCCCATATGGTAGAAAAACTGTGATACTGCAGAGTTTCCCATGCATAGCCTGATACAAGCCACTCTTTCAGTGAGTCTTGGTCCATTTTGGAAGCACCAGTATTACCTGGAATTCTCAGGGACTGGCACCTCCAGACAGAATCCTAGGCTATTCTGTTCTGTTCAACTCTCCAACAGGCCCTGAAAAGGCAGGCTGCCAAGGTGTTGGGCTGAGTTTGAATACAAGCAACAAGCTCATGAGTGACACTGTATTTGCTGTGTTATGGTCTCACAAAAAATCAAAAACAATTGGGAATATTCCCAATCATGTATATGATGTCAGAGGCTGTACATATTATGCCTTCCCATAGACTCATTTGTATATGGCACCATTCACAAAGCAAAAGAAAATACATATGCCTCTGTACACACTGGTTCTTTCACATTGTTTGTGTTTCCTGTGATGCTTACCAACTGCCTATGGATTGTGTGATGAGACCTGAAACCTGCCATATGTGGTAGTTGACCTTCCCAAAATGGAAAGTCTGAATTACCTGCTGTGTCTGGGCTCAGAAAATGCGGATAAAACAAGGGAATATTCTGTATGATTCCACTCACCTTGTACTGCTTGCTGTAAATAGTGATTGGTCTCTGTCTAAGCCCTTGGGGAGGCAATGGCATATCCAGAAAATGGTGAACACCTGTGGCACAAAGGCCACAGTTAATGCTGAGTATGTTCATAATATTGGCTTTGTCTCACATGTGAATGGCATAGCTATCAATATTATGTGTTCGCAGAGCTTTATGACACTGTACTGATCCTAGAAAGTGATAGAAAGACATTGTACAAGTTGTGTTGTGCATCTACTACTGTTGCTAGAAAGTCTATAGGCTAGCAATGTCATAAAGTGGGGCCACCACACATGCAAACTTATGACACATAGGATATCAAAGTCTTTGATGGTCTCTGCAATGCTAGATAAATGGTAGGAAATGAGAGAAAATCAGATGATCCCATGACTTCATATTGTGCTGACTATTGTAGGCCCATTCATGACAGTACATCTCAGATGTGCTAATGCAGAGTTCATGCACAAAGCCTGATGTCAGCAGCTCTATCATACCAGTCTAGTATAAACATGTCTTTGACTAATCTTGTCAATATGAAGCAGTGCCAATTATACAGTATGATGGTGCTATGCTTCATTGTTAACTCTTCATCTGATTTTTGCCTGGAACATATCTAACCTCTGTATGCACTACCATCACTTCATTCTCATGCAATGGCCCTTGGTATGTGGAGATAGAGTAGGCAGCTCTTGGCTTGTTCATATAGAATGTATTGACAATGGTGTCTGTTTGTGCAATGTCTACTAGCACTCATATTGCAGTGTATGCTGTGATTTCTTCCTGATGGGGCTCAGAAGAAGCCATGGTTGCTCTGGAAATAACATAGACTTGCATTGCTTACTAAGCAACAGTGAAGAACTACAATGGACTTATGAGCCAATATAAGCTGTCCTTTTATAAATCTCCAGTCAATAATATGACTTTGGAGTACTCTCATTTGCTGCAACTGTTTCCTTTCACATGTGATGATAAAATATCAGCTACTCATGCTGGGTCCTTTCATGTCATATGGCAAGTGGAACAATAACACATTAGACCAGAGTGTGAATATGTGTGATATTTGAAAAGCATTGGAAATATGTGGCAGTGTGCTGACCAGTACACAATTTGGCAGTTGATCCTGGATGGTATCTGCCATGCCAGAGTAATGTCAATATGAGAAATATGGTGTCTAATCCAAATATGGTACAATTGTATGTGCACACAAAATAACAACCAGTCAGTCAGAAAATGACACTGGTAATTATCTTGGGAGTATGTCTGAAGATATAAAGATTTTTAGACTTATGACCAGAGAGCATGACCATTCATAAACTGTTATCATCGCTGGGCTTTTTTATCTTTATTCTATATCCTTCTAGTAGACTTCAATGTGGTGTTCACAATGCCTTCTCAGTGGATTCAAGTGATTTTTTCTCTCACATTGTTATGCTTTGTAGCACCTGATTGTGTATGTACTGACTGGACTATTACCACATTTCTACTTTCCCTAGATCCCTTGTGACCACATGCTTGAAAGCTGTTACTGGGTGACTATTAGCTCAGAATATATTATCTATTGATGATAATATTACAGCTGGCAGGCAATCTATGAGTGGCTCATCAAGCTGTACACTATTTTTGAGTTTTCATAGGGCTACAGTAGTGTTTCAGGATAACATGCATGTGGTGCCTCATGTTTCACAGACCACATGCTTGATGATTGGCAATTATTACCACATATATTATACCCATGGCTTGCATTTTCCTTACTTTTGAGCCTTATTGTGCATCTTGAATGGCCTTGGAAAGTGGTGTACTGAGTCTTCTACTATCTTGTATGATTCTATGAAATATTTTATGCAGCTAAAAGGTTGTGCACTTGGGAAATGCACAAAAGTAGCATCCCTAAGAGCAACATTTATCTCATCTACCACTTGTGTCTGTACTCTTATGTACCTTCAATCTGTCAATGATCAATCCTGCCCATGACTCTATCAGTCTTGATGGCACTTACCATGGTGGTACATTGCTTCACATTGTACATAAGCCCATTACTATTGGCTCAAAACTATGGGCTGAGTAACATACCTTAGTATGGCTTTGTACTACTGGTCAGTGTCTGGTAACTGTTCACTGATGTGTATCAATGGTGAGAGCAAACTGGTCAATCTTTGATTGTATTCCTCATATGACACTTCAATTCTGGACAGGCCTTCATTCAGAATTCCTTATCAGAATACTACTCCTCTGCATATAGGTTTCATCCTCCATTGTCAATTGATTTTTACTTACAGAAATATGGTTAACAAACCATTGAAAAACATCCTTTTGCATCAGAGTTCCTCTCTGATCAAGGGCTAGTTCTGCATATTGTACAACAGCACCAGTGGCAAGTCCCAACTGAGCAATTGTTACTGTAACCGACCCCCCAGATTCCCCTTCCTTGAGTTCTAGTTGATCTAGAGGCTCTCCTTACTATGAGCTCCCTTTGCAACATTTCCAAGTGATTTGCTTTTTGTACTATCAATACATACCAGTAATACTGCTCATTAGTATTCTGGAAATATTGGGGATTAACCTGGCAGTTACCAAGTAAGAAACCGATCCAGAAGGACTGTTCTCTCAACAGAAAGTCTCAGTTGAATACACAATTACTTGCTCAATTGAGATGTTGCTCATGGGGTCTGACCATATTGGAACAATCAAATCAATTGCCAGGCTACATTGAATGTTTATGCCATAAGATGGCAAATGCATGGTGCAAAATGTGGAAGATATGTCGGTACTCTACACATAGACAATATACTTCTGATGTAGTCAGAATGAATTTGTTCACAAATTGACATGTATCTAACCAAAGGGATCATACTGCCAGCTATGGCCCTCTCCCCAGCAAGTTGACATCTGCAGAGGCACATGTGTATTTTCATTTTTCATTTTCTGGATCAGCCAGCCACTCAAGTTACTCAGTAATGATAATGTATACTCTCTGACTGAAGAGCTATCAGATTAGTATACTATCACTACAATGTGTTACTAACTAGGGCTATGGGGCAGCTTATAATTGTGAGCACTAGCAGCAGTGAGCTCCCTGGCTGCCAGTCACATGATATGCTCACCAGTTGCCATATTGGGCGCCACTCAAAGCATTTCTTGCTCACCCCAGGACAAAGCACTGAGCCACAGCATTTGTCTGCTAAGTGACCATAACAAATGTTAACTATACATGATAAGCTGAGGGCAAATGACTGTACCTGTGGGAAGAAACTGCCACATCAGGCACCACTGGAAGTGTTTCAGGCCCATCATAAGACCAATACTTTTGAGAGAAGCTAGTGATCATAATAATTGATGATGTTCTGCTGCTACCAGCCTCAGAGGGCCTTGACTATCCACCTGTTCTCTGACCCGAGGACTCACTGGCAGTGATCAAGTTGTGGTAATTCTGTGCATTGTGGATCTGGCAGACAACTCAACTGGTGAGTTCTTGCACTCTTGATAGGGTGCCTGCTCTGAGCTGTCCTTGCAGTGTTATTGTTGTGCAACCGCATTTGCCAACCCTCAACCTTGTACCTTCTCCAACGTAGACCACATGGTATGTGACGGGTGCATTTTCTTGAAGACTGGTTGCCATTTTGGGGGGCACATCATGGGCTGGGAAACACTTTGTTCTGTGCTCAAATGGTAGGGTTGTATGGTGTACGATCTATAGCAAAAATAAACCCACCCACATAATACTAGACTCCATACTTATCACAGTTTGCACCCGCCACCCACATAATTATTCGCGCCACCACCCACATCATTGTTTGCACCGCCACCCACATAATTGTTTAGTATCTACTCCAGCATTGAACTATATTCAGTTGTTAACATCTGCTTCCATCCCTTCTCCATACTCCTCTGCTGCCTGTTCCTGAGTGATCATCTGCGCCTTGTACTTCCGCCAGGTCGATGCAAGTCGTGTGCTGCTGACGAAGCTCAAGCCCTGCTGGAAGAAGGGTGGCCTACCACTCCTGCTGCGGCCAAGGCCACCTGGCCCAAGGCCAAGTAAGCTTGTGCCATGCAGCTGGCAAGGCTGCCATGCAATGAAGGTATTTGCGGCTTGGACAATCTTGATCCCATATAAGGCAATGTAGAAGTGTCCGCTGACCTCAGCCATCCAGCCTGTCGTCCAAGAGTACCCATACTTATGCAGGTGACTCTCACGAGTGGATTGGCCTAGGTGGGATTAAATAATAGCACCACAGAAGCAGGGCTACTTGAACTCACCGCGCATAGTTGGAGGCCATGACTCCAGCTGGAGGTGCGAGTGTCACATCCCGGAATGTAATTGTATCATCGCCTCTCTTGATGTAATACTCTCCCCGGCCCCAGCTATCCCCCTCAGCTCCTGATCCCATTGCCCTGCGGTGATCCATGCGGGGAAACCCAATTGCTGTGAGCCACTCCACGTAGTTGCCAAGCACCTCGACTGGGAGTAGGGTGCACATCTTGCTGAAGCTCAGCGCAAATGCCAAGCAAACATTGAGCTCGTGCCTGTGCAGAAATTGATCGCAAGTCACTGCACTTTGGTCCCTTGACATTGCACGCCCAATCCCATGTCCCTCCATTGCGGGACCCTGCAGAATAGCCAGACAGGACAAGCTTGCCTAGATCCTCTTTCTAATGAGGGTTATGAGCCTGCTGTGACTGAGGAAAATCCAGGATTAATGGCTCACCTGGATATCGCGCTTCAGCATACAATCTTTGGTAATCATCTTGTTGACTGATTCGCAAATCTGAGGATCCTTGCAGAAATCCTGGACAACAACTAGAACGAGGTCACCAGTTTTTTTGTTGTGCACCATTGCACCCTCATCTGCTGGAATGATGAGTTTGAGGTTGCGCTCATCAAGAATATGCATCGGCAGGTGCTCGCTGTGCTTCTGTGAGTGCGTGTTGGCTGTTTTTGTACTTGGAGGTCCTGCATCACCTGCTCACCCCTCGTGTATCTGCCAGCGGCTCTTTCTCAACCCAGTGTCTCCAGCCCTCTTGGCTCTCCTTATTCTCGCAAATCCAATGGTCCTTCAGCGGGTATTCCGAGCCAGTCTTGAGCTTTTCGAGTGCGTGCAGCTTGGCGATCCCTGAGGTATGAAGGTATTGTTCTTATGATGGACCACCATGAAACGCCTTAGCAATTCCTCCGGAATGGCAGTTTGTTCCCACAGTGCACGTGACTTGCAGCCACCCCGATAAGCAGAGATAAGTAACTGTTAGTATGGGTTGCTTATCTGAGTCTGAAATTTCAGACTCCCAGACGACGCGACTTGGACCAACAGATACAAACAAATGCAGTGGCTAAGCGCTCTGTTATGGATATGAGGGCCATGAAACACCGTAGCAGTTCCCCCAATAAGGAAACTGGTAAAACTGTCACGTGACTGTCTGCCTGGCAGCTCACTGTGGTAAGTGCTCACATATTGTAGACCACTTGTAGTCTCAGCCAGTAACAAATCATAGTATACATAGTATACTCATCTGATAGCCCTTCATGCAGAGAGTATACAGGGATTTTACTGAGTGCATACAGTGGCTGGCTAGGCCAGGAAATGCAAAGCAAAAAAATGCACATGTGCCTCTGCAGATTCAATCTGCTTGTTTATGACTCAAATATGGTCTATATGTACACTGCAATGTATATGTGTAGTTCAGACACTGTGGACTACTCAGTAGCTTCAATAATACAGGTAACAAGGACTATAATGGGTAATCTGAGCATCTTTTGCCATATTATGGCTCTTGCATACAATGTAATGGTAACCATTGCAGCTCAAGGCAATCATACACTTGTCTTTGATGTGTCTGTATATTTCATAGATTTTCTGCATTTCTCTGAGCCCTACATGCCCCTGTTTGTGTATGATTCCTCTTTGGGAAGGTCACATACTCCATATGGTAATTATGCATCCACTGCTGGCTTTGTCTTGCTCACAGACACAATCTAGGGATACATACCTGAATGTGTACTTACACTACCATCTTATAGGGTTGTCCAGTACATGAGCAGTTCCAAGAGTGAAGTAGCAGGCTTATATATCACTGGGCCAACAGCAACCATCTTACCAGGTTATTGAGAATGCTATCTGATCTGATGTCAAACCCATGCCCTGGGACAAGGGACACATAAAGATAGTAATGACAGGCCAGCAAAGAGAGCACAACCACTGGCAAATAATAGCAATATGCCACTCTGTTTTGACTGGAATGAAGAAACATATAGCTGTGCATTTGACAGTCTGCTGGGAATTTTGCATTGTGTTTACCAAGAACAGAACATGTACTGGCAGCAGCATATAGCTCATCAAAACAAATATCTCTCAGCTTTCACAGACATGTTGCAGCAGGTCCACCAAAACAAAACCAACCTCAACAGTGTCAGGGACAGAATGCATGAGATGCTGCACAATGATGATGCAAACTCATTCCCCATGGTAGCTCCTGCAGGGTCTGATCTGTATGCTCTGTGCAAGCAGATGCTTTCTCATGATATGGACTACTGCAATGAGACAGACCGATGCTCCTCATGCCATGTCTCCCAACATGTGACCACTTCTTCAACCAAGCTATGGACATTGGATGCTGCATTGTGGGATTCCAGGATTGCGCGGGGGCGCCATGTGACAACACGGACAACTTCTCATTGGGTCAAAGCCACCCAGAAGCACAAACTTGGAACTAGATGCCGCTTTTGTAATGCAACTATGATCCATGAAGAAGTTCTTACAACAGCACCCAACTTTATTGCATTTAATGTATACAGGGCAGATTGCACTAGGCTAGAGAAAAAGGTGGACATTAACACTGCCTTAGGTAACACCTCTTACCAACTGTGTGGGGTGATTTACTTTGGTGGATTCCACTTCACAGCAAGGATAATATCAACAAATGGTCATATCTGGTTCAAAAATGGCAAAGAGACAGGACAGAATTGCACTGATGAAGGTATCCTGACTGCAAGTGGTGGCTTGCAACTGTGCAGTGCAGGGAACAGACATATGACAATAGGTCTCTATGTCAAGGTTGCCTAACTTGTAAAAAAGTGCTACAGCACCGGAGGGATCGTACTGCCAGTCATGGCCCTCTCCCCAGCAAGTATCCATGCTTCGTAGTGCTTAACCTACTCTGCTAACTGCCACACATAAGCTGTGGGATGAGCCCGAGCTTGACACGCCTTTCCACAGTGTCATGATTGCAGAGATCATGGCGCGGCAGTGGTGGCTAGGGCAGCACCCAGAAGCCCTTTGCCACGAGAACCGGTCTCGCTTCAACATCAACGTCAAGCTGCCGTCAAGCAATATGATCGCTCTGACCTGCAGCGCAGTGAGTAGCTGGGCTTCTGCATGGGTATCGGATAACCTGACACATTGACAGATCTTAGTTGCCTTCCATGAAGCATTGGCAGGCAATACCACCATCAACTTCGACGAGAAGACTTATGCCACGGAGTAAGTGATACCATGTCCTGCGCACAATTGCTAATAATCTTTGTCTTGCAGGCATGATCACTTGAAAGCCGGCATAGACAGGTTGCGTAAACACTTGGATGCGAACAGCAGAATGTGAAACGAAGGTATTTCCGAGCTCGTGAAGTCAATGAACAACACTATGGTGTCGAACATCATGTAGGTTACTTACATTGCATCGGACACAATCTGTTGACAAGTCGTGTAGCGCATTTGCTGGCATTGCCCATGACAAGAGCCAGAGGGACAAGGGCAGCACCCAGGAAGTCAATGATGGTATTGACATGCAGGCAGTTCTCGGCCGATGGGGCAAGAAGAAGGCACCGGTGTCCACTGTCTCGGGTGTACAGTCACAGGCTGCTCAAGTATTGTATCCCCTCCCTCCAGTCGCGAGCAGCTCCAAGACCAAGTAAGAGGTCGTTGGGACATAAGGTGAGTGGTCGCAGCCTCGCAATATCACTTCCATGTGGGATTGACACTGTGCCGAGTTAGTTGATCTGTTCTGTATGGTAGGATACCCGAGCTTTGTTAGCCATCTGACCTGGTACCTGTAGCTCACTCACATCTCACTGCTCATCTCTACCGTCTCGTTAGTATTATCTAGGTGTTGTATTATTAGGTGTAGGCATTTGTATGTGCTGTGCATGTACTACAATGATCAATAGAATCATTGATGCGACCAACAAGCTTGAAACAGGTCATCTATAATGACTGCTGGGCTGCCAGGTTTGGCATACAAAAGTAATGATCATAAAAAGTGATTCTAGAGTGAGTGACACCTAGCTGAGAGCTCTCGAGAGTACATACCTGGTTTGATTAGTGCATAGCGTGGGTGTACCCATGGGTGTCTGAGGGCATACCCATACCCATACCCACATGGGTTGCATACCCATGCCATGGGTATGGGTTTTGCATGGGTATCATGGGTACCCTTGGGTATGGGTACTATCATGGGTAGATCTATGTGCAGTTCATGGTACTCATAATTTTGCATGGTATGGGATGTGTTTGTCGGTATCATACTGGCCAGGTGAGTTTCACTGACTGCATGGTCAATCACAACATTGTTGGAGCTTCCACTTTTGCAAGCCAGGACACATTGCTTAGATGGGAGTCACTTACATGAGGGCAGTTACTGTACCTATATTTCCAACATATATGGATATTCAGGTGGGACAACCACAACATTTGGGGAATAGCAAGGCTGTATACACAAATAAGTCTTACACATCACAACACAAAATGTATAGTGATCCCATGGGCAGAACCCTCTAAAGCTCATCATATTGGATCACCCAGATGTAGTGGGATTACAATGGTCAACATTGAGCAGAACAAATGTATCTCAGGGTATACAAAAATTGAACTGAAACACAGACAAGATGTTGCATTGTGTCATGAATATGATAATGTCTGTCAGACTAGCCCCTGAGAAGAGGATCATATTAGAATTATTTGAATTTATTTCTTGATCATCATCACTGAATCCTGTCTTATGTCACAGGCTTCCACTAATATATGATAAGTGGGGCCAGGGGATGAATGTGACCAGCCCATTATGCAATTACTTTCATTCAAGCCTAGTTAATACATTGCCAGGTGATAAGTGACACAATAAGGAGCATGATGTCTTATAAAAAGCATGATCATAGACCTACTGTATTCAATGGCCTGCCACCTGCATGTAACTGTGGCCACTGGTCACTCTGCTGAAATCCTCGATTTAGAAAATTAACTAACAAGGCATCTATGCTAAATGTAGTGCTGGAACTGCAGGTCTAGGCTCACCTCAAGGGGTCCATGACCAGTATTCATACTGATTTTTCAAAATTCTAGAGTGGCCCTGTCACATGTACCTAGCAAGAAATTAAGTATACAGTATTACTGGCTGTCCAGCATGGACAATTGCATGGTAAGATTCAGTATGATAATATTTTGTGCCAGTATAGTATCTCAGCTGCACTGGGCTACCAAGCACATGGCACTGCATTTAATTGAGCATAATGGTACATACACTGTAATGCACTTGTTGTTGTCAATAGGACAACCTCAATAGTCTGTGTATCATTGGTTGGAGCATAACAATAAATGACAAAATCTGTCTTCTGGTTACTTATAAGAAGACAGGATGTGGCATAGGCAGGTCTTGCACAAACTTGGTTCCAGTCACTCAGGGTATTGCTTGGGTCAGGAGAGCTAGATAGGTAGATGAGATGGACAAGGAGAGAGTTAGGTTAGAAAGAACAGTGCATTGGTCTAACTACAATGTATAGAGTACTGTAGTTGTTAGTTGTGGGTCAAGATAGATGGTATGTGGAGCAAAAGTGTGTCTTCCATGAGCAAGTTGACACTCCTTATATTCCTGCAGGTTGGCCTTGCTGAATCATCCTCATAATCATAAGTTGAACATTATTGAATGTTTGAAAATGGACTCAAATATATAATGCAATTCTAGCAAGTACCAACTGTATCTTGAAGGCTGACATTACGGAAAGGGAACACTTGTCAACTTTCCCATACTGCTATTGCAAAGTACTTTGAAGCAAGCTTCAGGATCACCATATAGCTGTTGAACTGTGAGAGAAACATAGCACAGACTATCTAATCAACAGTTGCCAAATTTTACCACAGAATTATTACCACAGAAGTCCATGGGTTGCATGGGTACATGGGTCAGATTTTGGCTACCCATACCCATACCCATGCATACCCATACCCATGACCCACATGGGTTATCCATACCCATGCAATGCACTAGGTTTGATTGAGCGAGCTCTCCAAGGGATTTGGGGAATTCACAATGTCTTTGAGATCCGACAGGTCAAATACAACACACTTGAAATCGAAGGACTTGTCTTGCCCAGACAACAGCGCCTATCACAGCTCGAGAGCTGGCCAAATCACTATACAACCTGTTTTATTGTCTCCACAACCACTTGGGGACACGGGTGTTTTTTCCTGATGTAACAGTATCCGGTGGAAGTATTGCTGTTGTGCCTCGAACGGTAGGTGTCACTGGCACAGCCTGGGTGGGCATGCTTGGAGTGGGGTTGTTGACCAACGGAATGTGGATACGTCCAGTGGAGAACCCGCAGAAATCATCAGTCATATCGAGGTCTGAAGAGTCAGTTCGAATATACTGTTACGACCGTGCACTCAAGACGAAGTCTGAGGCTGGAGCTACAAAGTCCGGAGTTTTGGAGCGCAGTGGAGTGAGGACTTGGCGAAGCTATCGACAACACCCTTGGGAGAACTCGATGAGGTCCTCTATTTGGACTTGGACAGAAGTGGACTATGAGGAGTCCAGAGATAGAGTCGGAGGGAGAAGGAGGAGAAGACGAGAGCGAGAGAGAGAAAGAGAGAAGCTAGACAGAGGTCGGACGGAAGGCCGGAGTTCAGACAGGAGTTTGGAGGAAAGGAATTCAGATTGGTTAAACGAGATATTTGAACTGCAGTACAACGGTGCTACAGTTTGTCCTTATATACAGCAAGTCTAATTGTGAATGGAAGACAATAAGATGGAGGAAGGAATACAGAGAACAATAACGGAAGACCAGAGATGTTAGTAACAGGAGCGAATACAATAAGCTAATTGTCCGTGCAAGATAGAGACCATGTGGTACGCTAATTGTAATGCGGGAGAAGATAGGCTAAGTGAATACAATCAAACCAGAGTTTGGAGAAACGGAGACAGAGAGAACAGAACTAGAGTTCGGAGATGGTCTTGATGGCACGGAATGTGACAGGAGCCTCCACCACCAGCTACAAGAACGTGCAGCTACCAGTCGCAGCGTGCGCGCGAGCGGGTTCAGCATCATACTCGCCTCGACCTCCTTTGTGAACGGCGGGCCAACCATCTTGCGCATGAGCGAGTTGCTGATTGCTGTCTTGCCCATCGCCTTGTCTGCCAGCCTGGTGCCTCGCCTTGTAGTTCATGTAGGCAGACAGCTCAAGGGTGCCAAGCAGGTAGCGCGGATTGACGATCAGGCAGGTGCTGCCTACTTGACCAAAGCCGAAGGAGCACTGTTTTGTGGGATTAGATACTGATAGGGATGAATGGGCAGTTCTGCGACTCACCATGACCCCCGCACGGATGCTGCCAGTGAGGATGGACTTTGATGGGAGCATGAGGGACGTGTAGTCCTGAGCAGCTGGCAGCGCTAGTTCTCAAGCCATTGCAAGATTTTTGTGCGGCAGAAGGCAAGCTGGTGGGAGCAATTTGCACTGCCAAGTAGCAGTACTAGGTAGAGGGCGAGGGTGAAGGAGCTGCGAGGTCAACCGGCGCACTCTGGGAGCACCAAGATGGGGGTGTGACTCCAGGCAGCCGTGCGGCTGTTGGGTGCAGCACATTGGCGAGGGTCAGCTGCAGTGCGAGGTTGTCACTCGCCCCGGGGGGGGGGGGCAGAGCAATGCCCCAGACCACTGCAGGCAGACTCGATGCCGCAGCTGACTGCGCATGAGCATTGCACGCAGCAGGCAACTTCGCAAGGGTGCAAGAGCAGGTGAGGGGCCAGGTGCGAGGACAAGGTGAGGTTGCGTGGGCAGGCAGCAAGGGTGCAACAAATGGTGAGGGTGCAGGAGAGTCGAGAGGCATAGTAGAAGTCAAACAAAGCAGCAGAGCTCCTGCGGCTTCAGCTGGGTGCGAGTGAGGTGGTTGAAAGCCAGCAGTGGATTCATAGTTACCATATGGATCCAGTATGTGACCTTCCCAAAGAGGAATCATCCACAGACAGGGGCATATAGGGCTCAGAAAAATGCAGAGAATATATGAAATATACAGATACATCAAAGACAAGTGTATGATTGCTTTGAGCTGTGATGATGATTACATGGTGTCCATGAGTCACAATATGGGACAGGATGGCCAGATTACCCATCATAGCCCGTGTTACCTGTATTACAGAAGCTGCTGAGCTGTACACACTGTCTAAACCACACATATCTATCACAGTGTACATATAGAACATATCTGACTCATACACAGGTACTTTGAATCTTCAGAGGCACATGTGCATTTTTTTGTTTTGCATTTCCTGGCCTAACCAGCCACTGTATGCACTCAGTAAAATTCCTGTATACTCTCTGAATGAAGGGCTATCAGACGAGCATACTATGTATACTATGATTTGTTACTGGCTGAGGCTACAAGTGGTCTACAATATGTGAGCACTTACCACAGTGAGCTGCCAGGCAGACTGTCCCGCGCCAATTGCAACCACCCTGAGGGTCGTCGTAAGGGACAGTGGTCCATTCACACCACAGAACGACATAGCAGTCGTGTCTGTGGCCACGCACAGCGGTGCGTCCGGAGTGCATACACACAATACCGACACGTCCCACCTCTCCACGTCTGGTGCCGCACCGCTATCAAGCTCTACCTTCGATGCAGGTACAGCTGAACATCCTCCTAAGGAGGAATGCAAGTACCTCAGGGTACTTGCATATCCACCGGATCAGCACGCAGAGGGTGCTGCAGATTTGACACGATAGTCTGACTGACAAGGGTGAGTACCGTGAGGTACTTGTCCACCCACCTTCTCCCATTACAGTGCCACTGCTGGGTGACACTGAAACGAGCCTTGACAAAGAAATGGGCAGGCCAGATCCTGTGGATCGCAAGCAGTCGACTGAAGCATCTACAAAGGTAGATGTGCGACAGGCTGCACCCAAGCCCGGATGGCGACTGTCGGGACACTACATGCCACCTGCATGTCGCGCCCACTGGCAGCACCTTGAAGACCAATGTGGACTGGTCACGGCTTACGGCAACGATCACTACACCAAGTACCGCAAGGTACATCAGGAAACCCCCCCTGCGCGAATGTGGTGCAAATCGGCGCCAAATCGGTCTGGCGCGACCTCCCATGTAAACAGCCTCCAAACCGGTGCGAATAGTTCGTAAACACCGCCCAAATGCTGTTGTCACACCTCACTAAGTACTTGTTGATCGACTCACTGGCTTGATATACGTTATGCTGTGAGCCATAGTGGATGCTCACTCATGCCAGGGGATGTACTGCCGCGGCGCAGTCTCAGGTCTCCTGATTACTCTGTACATTAGTCCAAACAGGGACTCAGGGTGGCATGCAACATTCGGGCACGATAGTACGTGAACATGAGTGTAGATAAGGTGGTACATGGCCGCGACACAGACATATATTGAGTTGGAGTAATTGTGCACGACACGTGATCCTCGGATGGCGTGCACAATGAAAGAAAGACCGGGTTGCGCCAAGACAGTGCTCGCGGCGCAACGGGCATGTCGCATCATCAGCAGCGTGCTCGGTGGCTAAACTAAGGTCAGTGTGGACAGGCATCACCGGGACGTCACCACTCATAACAACTCGGACCAAGTGAGAGACACTTGGTGACATCATACTTGTGCTTGGGGAAGGCATCGGCAATGCTGGTCGCGCCAAGAGCCATCTTGTTGAGCGGCGCGTGCTTTTGGTTGGTACGAGGAGGGTTGCAGATGGGAAGGAGGTCGAGGAGGTCGACTCGCTGTTACCCTCACACTCGAAGTCACTGCCCGCCATGCCGGCGGAAGTGGCGAGACCACGTAGACCATGCGCAGCGGACCCCTCAATGTCAGTGTCAACCTTGTTCTCGTGCTCATCAGCCTCCTTGCGCACGCCAAGCTCGACAATAATGCCGTTGATACACTTGGGAACACGCTGGAGGTCGCCAGTCGACTCGGCACGGTAGGTGATCACCGTGCCCTTGTCGGCAGGGTTAAAGGGTTTGAGGTCAAGACCAGAGCATGGGCAGGTCGTTTCGGGGTCAGCGCAGGCAGCGCAGGAGTGGATAAGTTGCTGGTTCCCGGGCACGAAGGGTATGACACAGCGAGGGCAACTGCAGCCTCATCAGATGAGAGGTAGCCACCGGTGTAGACCTCATTCGAGAGCCCACAGTGGGCGATGTTCACGTTCTGATCTGCGGCAACTCCACATTCTTGCATTCGAGGCCACGGTGGACAATGTTGAGAAGGAGGGAGCAGTCAAAACCGGAGCTGATCTGCTTGAAGAGCCACCGCGCTTGGGTGTCTGGTAGCAGCCCGTGCTCGATGGTGCTGGAGCGCCGATGCGAGCTCAGAGGCGTGATCAGCAGTCCTGGCATGTCTTGGCGCAGGCGCTGTGTGCCGGCAAGGCAGCGAAGGACTCCCAGAGTGAGATGGTGGCGCACAACGAGCAGATGCTGGCACGCCACGGGGTGGAAGAGCCCACCAAGATCACCTGAGGGCTCACCGCGCAAAAGGCTGATCGTCCGGCACATGGTGTCACCAGGTGGCAGGCTGAGGGCGGCAGGCTGGTGGTTGCGGGCTCAGTTGATGCAGCTGGTGGGTGTCGTCCGAAGTGGAAGAGTCAGTCCCCGGGGCGCAGAGGGGGAGGCTGCCCGTATTTTGGTCACTCATCTCCAGGTAGCTCGCTGTGGGCTTGCAGGGGGGGCGCAAGGGGTACGTGGAGGGGCAAGGCAACAGGCGGGCAACAAGGAGAGGGCGCACACCGGAAAGTCTGGCCCATGAGGGTCGAGGCTGGACTGAGCATCGAACAACATGAAAGGATAGCAGGGCGACAAGGCGGGGGCTCTGTCCTTCTCACGAGGTGATGAATTTGAATGGGACATATATGACCTATAATTTAGGAGGAATCAGCCAAGGTGTTCCCACAACGACTCGGAGGACACTGAGCAAAAGTAGAGGAAGGCTGAACTGGTGCTGCCCGCTCACAACGTGCGATGATACATGCCTGCAGACCGCGGATGTGTCACCCGGGCCAATCCCCAACGCAGACATCAACACGGGTCTGCAGGGGCAAATTATTGGTGCGCACTTGTGAACGGGCGGCGGAGGCGAGGTCGGAGAACAAGGGTACACGATGTGGCAAGCATACTAGGCGAGGGGCCCAAACATCCAGAATTTGAGGGAGGCGGGTACTTACGGTGCCTGGCTTCTCCCACCACCGCGGCATTGTTTTCATGGCCATTCACGGCAGTCCTATGTTGGTGCCAGACATAGCAATGCCAGTGTCCTTATAGCAGGACACAGCCTCCCTTGGCGAGCTGCAAATGCGGTCACCTGGCATAGCCGAAGCATGCATCTTGCAACTAGCCTCAGGAGATTGTGTCGCCGCAACGAGGACACCGACATGGGTATCGACTCAGTCATCAACGCCAGCAACTTCACACGGGGTAGTGGAAATGGCTGAGGGAGGGGGTGCATTCATGCGAGCGGACGTCTGAGCATATGTACGAGTCAGCATGGCATCACAGGAGGATGGCCAATACACGCACCATGTTCCTTCTCTCGCGGTCCTGAGCTGAGCTCCATGCCCTCTCTCGCGCTTCTTCATTGGCCACCTTCACCCTTGCCATTCTTGATTGGTGGATTCCACTCGCCTGATGCAGATGTTGCGCGTTTTGACGGGCATCCGGATTGCAAAACGTGCGGGGCGAGTCGTCGGGCAGTGCACGTCTTGTGTAGTGAGATTGAGGGTGAATCCCAGTCATTGGTGAGGTGGCAACATCAAGGCGAGATCACAACGTGGAATAAGGGAGATGGAAGCCGTGCAGCGAGGGCAAATGAGTGTGTAGCAGCCGAGGTGACCAAATGGAATGGCAGCAGGGGTGGTGAGCGCAGAGACGAGGAGCGAGTTTGGAGCGAGTCACATCCTGGCTGGCCACAAGTCGACTTAAGCGCCGAAATGTGCGCTCGGGCCTGAGCTCAATTGAAGGATTAGTTCGAGGTATGGTGTAATGTTTTTGAATATGATGTCGAGATTCAGGGATTCAAGCAGTATGTGTTTGAGGCTTTTATTCCAGATGCAAAGAGTGCAGTGAATGACTAGTGAGGCCCGCAAATCGGGCACTTGCGCCAAGCACAGTGAGTATGGTAAAGTGCAAGACTACACTACAGTTATGTATGTATGCCTGTTGGTGAACAAGTTTACATAGAAGTTTTCGCAAAGATCGAGGACATTGTTGCTGGTCCATTCCGGCGGCTTGACAGGCCTGAACTTTGGCACGAGGTGAATGCTCCGCTGGAGGTCCTTCAAGGGGATGATCGCAGTGACGCGTTCACCTGCTTGTGATTGGTGCCGTTTGACAGTGTAGAATAGATGGTTGGGCTCTGGCCGTGGCTTGAATCGGCTGAACCATTCGAGGTAGACAAATTGCGACGGGGCGGTGAGATCACCATGGAATACATTCTCATGGGCTTTCTTCGACAGTGAGAAGATCGCACAAACCTGGGCGACGCTGTGTAGGTTGCGAGTCTCCCGGGTCGGAAAGAGACCGGAAGGAATCGATGGTGTCGGTAGAAACGACGGGTGGGGGCTGTTGGCAAGCGGATGGGAAGGGGATGTGACGATTCGGTCCTGGAGGGGACGTACGAGCTCAGATACTCGTAGGCAGCACTGTAGCGCGGTCGGAGGAGGGTGGTGGAATCGTCCCACAACGCAGGGACTCGGGCTGAACGCGTAGAAACTCGTTGAAGCTGGATGAAACGCAGAGAGCCGGAAGGAAACGCGGTGCTCGTTGAAGGTGAACGCGGTGATCTATTCGCAACGCAGTAAACACAGGACGCAGTCAGAAACGCAGGGAATCGCAGTTGAGCTCGCTCTCTACTCCTAGGTGGTAGGTAGGTAGGATCTCCCCCGCCCGGTCCCCGGCTCCCTCCCTTATGCCCCCTCCGGCTCGCTATCCCACGCCCCCGCCTCGCTGGCACCCCTCTCCGTACCCTCCCGTTCCCTCCGGTTCCTCTCGGGCCCTCCTCCCGTCTCACTTCGTCCCACCGGTTCCCATCCTCCCCCTCCTTCGTGCCATGTCATCCTCCGTGCCCCTCAACCCGCTCGCGACTGTCCACATCCGCCGGTACTTCCTCCTGCTGGAGGTGCTTCGACATGAACGGGCCGCCGAGCCACGCCTCGATATGTCCTCGCCCAGGACCTGGCTCGTATGGGGTCACGGCGTCCGCTGGCTTCTGGTACGCATGCCCCCGCTTGTCCCTTCCGCCGCTTGACTCTCGACCTAGCGCATGCTCTTCGACTCGTTCTCCCTGGCTACGGCCCACGGCGATGCGTCGCTCCCGTCCCCCGCAGCGTTCCCTCCGTGGCCTCTCTGCTCACCTACGTTGACGCCGTGTTTGAGGGCATTCCCTCCGATATCGGTACCGGGACCGCCTTGTATCCTGCCATCGCGTGGTCCCCTCACAGGGTCCATGCCGACCCGTCCAGCGGACAGCCTCCCCCGCCATCTCCCCCTCAGTTCATAGACCCTCCACTCCGCCTATCTTCCCTCCGGCTTGCTTCCGATAACCAAGACTCCCTTTATGCTTGGATGGGCGCGTTGATGAGCGAGCAGCGGACCTCTGCCGGTCGTATCCGTAACGACGTCGGGTTTGTAGTCCGCGAGATCTACGACTTGGGCCGTTCCGTCCGCCTGATCACCGAACCGGAAGGTGCTTTCGGGGGTGCTGCCGGAGGGAACGTCGATCCGGAGGAGAGTTCGGTCGGAGGCCCGGAAGGTATCGACATCACCGTTCCGGAGATGTTCGACGGAGGGAACACTGTTTCGTAGTGTACCCTTGGGCTTGTAGTCATTCGTAGCTCTTTGAATGAACAGCCGGTCCTTGTGCCGTTCCTTTCCTTGTACTATATGTTGCCTTACGGGGCTGGGCTACGTCCCTGCCCCACAACGCGGTAGCCTATTCATCGGTAAGTTGCTGGGATTCCTTACTGACAAATGTAGTACTTACCGTCGACTCCTACGTGCCCGCCACCTCTTTTGTTGACCAAGGCAGTGTCGAATCTTCCTGGGACGACTCGACCTTGGGTGTCTCGGTAGTTTGGTCGTGCATGTATAACATCGAGGGTCTCAGGTGCATCCCTGCACCTGAACGGATCCTGATTCCAAATTGTACCTTGTGCCACACGGATACGGCATGGAAAGGTAGGTCGTACACTGAGACGTGTTCCGCGAGCTTGCGAGCCAACAACTCGGGATGCTTGTGATGGACTATAAATTCCTTGAGGAGGTGCTCGAAGTTGAAAGCACCATAGCGCGCCTTGAGGGTCGAAAAGCCTATAGAATTGTGCGTTGGAGTGCGCGTGAGATGGCAGTGGGGCTTATGAGGAATGCGGGATGGGGCGGATGCAATGTCAGGTCAACCATCAAGCCGCCATTGCAGGTAGAGTGCGTGAGCGTGGATTAGTTTGAGGCGAACAATGGTCGTGGTCATCTGCGGGTACTCGTCCTTGCGGTTGGACTTACGCCACGGATCCTTTGCGAGTGAGATGTGGAGGTGTTCAGACACTGAAGTGTTCGTACCATTGGCGGTCCCAAAGAGCTTGATCCCCAAGGTGTAGTGCTAAAGGGAATGCAGCTTGGGGAAATTGAAGTGGTTGCAAATGCCGAGGTCCTCAAACACCACTTTCTTTGCGTGGAATCGAGCGAGGGTGTCGTCGAGCTGCCCAGGGTTGTTGAGGTGTGTGCTGGGAGTTGTGCGAGATAGACGAAATCAAGGAGAGCGCGGACGGAGCGGATGAGGCGAGTGGGGTTATACCCACCAGGTAAACGGAGGTCGACGATGGTCCCGAGTAGGACACAACATATGTCTTCATGTTCTGTGCCAGAGACGCAGGACAAATGTGAGATCCCCTTCGAGAAGTGGTGGAGGTTGTGATTAGGAGGAAGAGCCTGGAATCGGTCGTCAATGACATGAGCTCCATAGGCTGACTTGATCCATAGAATGACGTGCTTGACCATCCCTTGGTAGAGTTGATGCAGGATGTCGGGGGCAATGAGGCATAGATGTTGACGTAGGGCAGTCCTTTCCAAAAGGGGTCCGTCAGGGGTTTGATGCCTGCAGCCTGGCAAGCGTGGACGTGGGCAGCTGCTGAACCCGTCCACTCAAGAGTGTCAAGGGCATACAAGATTGCGTTAAGATCTCGCTGGGTACAATAGACAGGCTCGCCCAATGACTCAGGATCAACCACGCCCGCTGGGCATTCACCATTCTTCATGCCGGTGACGAGGACGATCTCGGGGTAGTCCCCGACATAGGCGGCGAAGATAGGGTGGCAGCACTGGGCAATACTGTGGCCAGTCGTCGTCACAGTGCCGTGGCGTCCAGCTTTCCGAGTCGGTGCGAGGGCCTGGCGTAGACAGGTGTGAAAAAGGTTGCTACTTGCCCGGCGCCAATTTTCCTCACTCTTGATATGAGAGAGTTGAGTGACAGGCAGATAGCCTATGAGGAGTTGCGCCTGCCTACTCGATTTACGACGAATCTCCTTGGGGATACTACCGATCATTAGATAAAGAGGGTAGCACGACCGGTTGCGAAATTAGGTCAGTTGAGTCTTGTCAGATGAAATAATGAGGGGGATAATCGTTGTGCCAGCTTGCTTGGCTTCGAGTTTGTGCTGCAATGAATTGATTAACATTGGGGCACTGCTGCGAGCACGTAGTGAACGGAAGGATACCTGCAGGCACCACCACCAATCTCCGGTGTGCATATCACCATACACATGTGTGGTCTTGGTGCGATCAACGTAGTGTTTCTTGGGCGCAAGGATGATATTGGGCGCCCAATTGGATGACCCAAAGAGAACGCGGATGCACTCCATAGCGTCCCACAGCCAAAAATCATACTTTTCACCGTCAACCTCGAGAACATGATGAACAAAGCTCGGCCGGGGAGGGAGGGAGGAATCAATGAGCTTATTGAGTTCCTTTGTGTTCTTGAATGAGGTATCTAGGTGATTGAGGACCTGGTTAATCGGTTGAGAACAGTGTCATCAGCCATGCACATAGACGGAAGATCAAGCTGTCATACCCCATCAATGGTGAGCAATTCGTTAAATGCAGTTGCGGATGGACCTCGTGTCTTGGCCCATTGTGCGATGTGCCAGTCCATCTCTGAGGCAAAAGGGGCGAAGACATTTGCGTCAGGTGCTGCACCCAAAGCCGCCTCCTACATCACAAATGGATTCTGGGCAGCACCGTGATCGGTGTCATCCCCACGACGCTCACGACGGAAGGGTACTACAAATGGGTCGTGAAAGAGGAAGTCTTCATCCTGAGGCTGGATGCCTGGGAGCTCGTGGTCTACGTCCATATCATCATTGGTGTCAGGCTCCGCGGGTGGCATTGGAGCATTGTCGAGTCTTTGATCCTCGTCGGCGAGCGGGCGATTGGAACCTGCAGACGGAGATGGCGACCGCCTTCCCTGAGGGGAAGGCGGCCAGCTGAGTGGCCGAGGGATGTTGTTGTAGTCCCTCTCATCTTTGTCAGACTTGCTGGGGAGAGGGCCATAGCTGGCAGTACGATCCCTTTGGTATGATACATGTCAATTTATGAACAACTTTTATGCTGCCCACATCAGAAGTCATGCTTGGCAAGACTGCTAGTATATTGCCTATGCATAGAGTACTGACATATCTTCCACATTTTGCACTTCAGAGTAGCCTGCTAATTTATTAGGTTGTTGTCATATGAGGATCATAGCTTGCAATCATGAGCAACAGACATTATGGATCTGTTTCTTACTTGGTAAATTGCCAAGTTGCTTATCAATATGATCTGAATACTAATGAGCAGTGTTACTGGTTTGTATTGATAGTAACATAGAGCAAATAGCTTGGGAATGTTGCAAAGAAGTAAGGAGATCCTCTAGATCAACTAGAACTCAAGGAAGGGGAATCTGGGGGGTTGACTACAGTAACCACTACTCAGTTGGGACTTGCTGTCAGTGCTGTTGTACAAGTATTAGCCCTTGATCAGAGAAATTCTGATACCAAAGGATGTCTTTCAGTAGATTGTTAACAGTACTTCCCCAAGTACAAACCAATCAACAGTGGAGGATGGAACCAATATACAGAGGAGAAGTATACCAGTAAGGAATTCTGAAAAAGGCCTGTCAAGAATTGATGTGTTATACAAGGAATACAACCAAAGAATGTGCAGTTTGCTCTCACCATAAGTGAACAGTTACCAAACACTGACCAGTAGTACAAAGCCATACTAAGGTATGTTACTGGATTGGAGCTCAGCTCCTGAGTCAATAGTAATGGGCTCATGTAGTAAAATGTGAAGCAATGTATCACCATAGTAAGTGCCATCAAGACTGATAGAGTCATGGGCAGGATTGATCACTGATGAATTGAAGGTACACTGGCATAAGAGTACAGAAGCAAGTGGTAGATGAGATAAATGTTTGGACTTGCTCATAGGGATGCTCCTTTTGTGCATTTATGCACAGCCTTTTAGCTACATAAAATACTTCATAGAATCCTACAAAATAGTAGAAGACTCAGTACACCACTTTCCAAGGCCATTCAAGATGCACAATAAGCTCACAGGCTCATTGTAAGGCAAGGGTAGATGTGCCAATAATTCTCACTGATCATCAAGGATGTGCTCTGTGATTCATGACACACCACTTGCATGTTGTCCTGAAACACTAGCACAGCCTTATGAACACTAGTCACTCATAGATTGCCTGCCAGCTGGGATAATATATCAATAGATAACATAGTCTGAGCTAATAGAACCCCAGTAATATCTTTCAAAGCATCTGGTCACAAGGGGTCTAAGGAGAGCACTAGAAACTTGGTAATAGTCCAGTCAGAACATACACCAATAGGTGCCACAAAGAATAACAATGTGGGAAAAAAGATCACTGAAATCTGGTCAGAAAGCATTGTGAACCCCAAATGAAGTCCATTAAAAGGATCTGAATAAAGATAACAAAGCCCAGGAGTGATAACAATTCCTGCTGCCTACCCTATTCAAAGACCATATCTATGGAATTTCTTGTAGAAAAAGGGTTTTCAATGCCTTGTCCCTAAGAACAGACTGCATACTAAGACTTGCACATGGGCCTTTCCTGGGTATTCTAGTAATGCCTACTATCAATGGTCATGCTCTCTGATCATAAGTCCAAGGATTTCTATATCTTCAGACATACTCCCACGATAATCACCAGTGTCATTTTCTGGCTGACTGTTCATTTTGTGTGCACATACAATGTATGGTACTATATTTGGATTAGACAATATATTTTTCATGTTGACATTACTCCAGTGCAGATACCGCCCAGGATCAACTGCCAAATGGTGTACTGGTAGGCACACTGCCACATATTTCCAATGCTGTTCAAATATCACACATGTTCACACCTGGGTCTAAAGTGTTATATTTCCACTTTCCATATAACATGAAAGGACCCAACATGAGTAGCTGATATTTTATCGTCACATGTAAAAGGAAACAGTTGCAGCAAATGAGAGTACTCCCAAAGTCATATTATTGACTAGAGATCCATAAAAGGACAACCATATATTGGCTCAGAAGTCCATTGTAATATGGCCTCTTCACTGTTGCTTAGTAAGCAATGCAAGTCTGCATTATTTCCATGGCAACCATGACTTCTTCTGAGCCCAATCAGGAAGAAATCACAGCATACACTGCACAAACAGACACCACTGTCAATACATTTTTGCCCATATGAACAAGCCAAGAGCTGCCTATTCTATCTTCACATACCAAGGGCCATTGCATGAGAATAGGATGATGGTAGTGCATACAGACATTAGATATGCTCCAGGCAAAAATTATATGAGCCATTAACAATCAAGCATAGCACCATCATACTGTATAATTGGCACTGCTTCATATTGATACAATCAGTCAAAGACATGCTTATACTGGACTGGGACAATAGAGCTGCAGACATCAGGCTGTGAACTCTGCATTAGCACATCTGAGATGTACTGTCATGCATTGGCCTACAACAGTCAGCACAATATGATGTCATGGGATCATCTGATTTTATCTCATTTCCTACCATTTATCTAGCATTGCAGAGACCATCAAAGCATTTGATCACCTATGTGTGGTGTCCCTACTTTATGCATAACATTGCTAGCCTATAGACTTTCTAGCAACAGTAGTAGATGCACAACACAACTTGTACAATGTCTTTCTATCACTTTCTAGGATCAGTACAGTGTCATAAAGCTCTGCGAACCCATAATATTGATAGCTATGCCATTCACATGTGAGACAAAGCCAATATTATGAACATACTCAGCATTAACTGTGGCCTTTGTGCCACAGGTGTTCACCATTTTCTGCATATGCCATTGCCTGCCAAAGGGTTTAGACATGAGCCAATCAATACTTATAGCAAGCAGTACAAGGTGAGTGGAATCATACAGAATATTCCCTTGTTTTATCCGCATTTTCTGAGCCCAGACACAGCAGATAACTCGGACTTTCCATTTTGAGAAGGTCAGGTACCACATATGGCAGGTTTCATTCAGGTCTCATATAGCCACACAATCCATAGGCAGTTGGCAAGCATCACAGGAAACACAAAGTGAAAGAACCAGTGTGTACAGAGGAATATGTATTTTATTTTGCTTTGTGAATGGTGGGTGCCATGTTTATATGAATCCATGGGAAGGCATACTATGTACAGCCTCTCTGACATCATATACATGACTGGGAATATTCCCAATTGTTTTTGATTTTGTGGGAGACCATAGCACAGCAAATACATTGTCACTAATGAGCTTGTGGCTTGCATTCAAACTCAGCCCAATAGCCTGCCTTTGCAGGGCCTATTGAAGAGTTGAACTGAACAGAATAGCCTGGGATCCTGTCTGGAGCTGCCAGTCCCTGAGAATTCCAGGTGATAATGGTGCTTACAAGATGGACCAAGACTCATTGAAAGAGTGGCTTGTATCAGGCTATGCATGGGTCACTCTGCATTATTATATGTGTTCTGCCATATGGCCTCAACAGTCAACCCAATACAAATCCATAGTACTATCTAATTTTTCTCTGATTTTCCTGCTATTTATCCAGTTCTGCAGAGGCCATGCATGGCCAACTTCCCAAATGGGCAGGGGACTAACCATATATGGCAGTTTTGTATGTTTGATATCCTCCACCTCACATAGCCCATACATGTGGAACTGTCTTGTACAAGCATCATACACACACCAACATTTGCTTATATCCCCAGTATCACTTGCCAAGGTCAGTACTCTGTGAAAAACAACAAGAACACCTAATCTGGGCACCCCTGTCAGTACTCAAGGGGCATTCCATGGAGAAGCAATATTTTTCCGCATTTAATGGGGTTCTAGTAAGAGCTCAGTTAGTGTGGCTTGAAGCCATCAAAAAACTCGGCATGAAGAGCTGAGATTGAAAGATTACTTTAAAAGGGAATCTTTGTCACCATTTCAGCCAATGGGAGTGCTCCAAAATATCCTTTGAGTGACCGGAGTCGTCGACAGGCCGGAATTCCGGCCTGTCGACGACTCCGCTTCGGCAACGGGCGCTTAACCGAGCGCTTAGTAAGCGATGTAAGTGCATCCTGGTACTGCAGCACATTTCACTTGTTTTGGGGTCAAGAAAATGCGGATTAATCAGACAATATTCCAGGATATATGTGGAGCATCCCTGAGCATATTTACAAGTGGAGAAGATTCCCTATATGCTCATTCAGTGCTGAGACATCAAAACATGCATGTTATTACCATTTTTCCCCACCAATAGCTGTGCTGTGCAACTTCCAGACACATCCATGCATTGTAAACTATGCACATATCTATACAGGTCATAGGCAATGTGTTTCAGGGACAACAGGCCATTCATATCTGCACAGTCACTTGTGATTCTCTAAATGTTGTCCTTTGTTCTTCATTCCTCCAATGTATGATTAACCCTTGAAATGATGGGCTATCAAATGAGTTTATCATCTCTATAACCTCTATAAGAGTTGATTAGATTTCAGTCAGTGTATCCCAGTCAAATGCCACATTCATGCATGTGTTTCTCTGTTTCCTGAATTTCAAACAACTGGGCAAGTCATACTAGTGATATATTGTGGGGGCCTCCATACAAGATGAATTGCCTTCATATACAATGCAATACAGATGAGTCTGATTACACATAATATTCCCTGATTTTATCTGCATTTTGTGAGCCCAGACTGAGCAGGTTAAGCAAAATTACCATTTTAGGAAGGTCAGCTACCCTATTTAGCAGGTTTGAGATGTCAGAGAATCTGTGGGCAGCATATAGGCTTCAAAAGAGACTTTTGAGGTGAAACGGGATGCACTCATGTGCACAGAGGCATTTGCATGTTTTTTTGTTTTGTGAATTGTGCCATGACCAGTGAAGGTAATGGGCAAGTCACAGCAGCTATAGACTTTATGACATCATACCTATCACAGAGATTATTTTGGGAATTTTCCGCATTTTAGTGACAGCAGGTACAGTGCCAATAAGGAGCCTGTGGCTGAGATTCAAACTCAGCTCAAAACCTCGGCAGCCTGCCTAATTAGGGCAGGAAATCACCTGCTGAGCCAATCAGAGCAGCCCGGCATCCCTCTTGTGCCGTTCGGAGGTGCAACCGTGCGGAGATTTGGCACGGATGCACCTCCGAACGGCATCTGGGCGCTTAATGGGCGCTTAGTAAGCGATGTAAGTGCGGACTGTGAGTTACTGTGCTTAAAGAGAGCTTGTATAGGCTCAGAAAAAAGCCTAAAATTCACATAATATTCAGAATGATCCAGGCAATGTGAGTGAAGCTGTCTATGGCATGAGTTTGACATCAAATCAGATAGCATTCTCATAAGATGGTTGTTGTGGCCCCAGTGAGCTTATATAAGCCTGCTACTTCACTCTTGGAACTGCTCATGTACTGGACAACCCTATAAGATGGTAGTGTAAGTACACATTCAGGTATGTATCCCTAGAATGTGTCTGTGAGCAAGACAAAGCCAGCAGTGGATGCATAATTACCATATGGAGTATGTGACCTTCCCAAAGAGGAATCATACACACAGGGGCATGTAGGGCTCAGAGAAATGCAGAAAATCTATGAAATATACAGACACATCAAAGACAAGTGTATGATTGCCTCGAGCTGCAATGGTTACCATTACATTGTATGCAAGGGCCATAATATGGCAAAAGATGCTCAGATTACCCATTATAGTCCTTGTTACCTGTATTACTGAAGCTACTGAGTAGTCCACAGTGTCTGAACTACACATATACATTGCAGTGTACATATAGACCATATTTGAGTCATAAACAAGCAGATTGAATCTGCAGAGGCACATGTGCATTTTTTTGCTTTGCATTTCCTGGGTTAGCCAGCCACTGTATGCACTCAGTAAAATTCCTGTATACTCTCTGAATGAAGGGCTATCAGATGAGGATACTATGTATACTATGATTTGTTACTGGCTGAGGCTATATAGGCCCTACAGTGTGTGAGCGCTTGCAGCAATGGGCCACCAAGCTGCCAGTCGCATGATATGTTTACCAGTTTCCTTATTGGGGGAACTGCTAAGGCATTTCATGGGCCTCATATCCATAACTGAGTGCTTAGCCACTGCATTTGTTTGTATCTGTTGGTCCATGTCACGTCGTCTGGGAGTCTGAAATTTCAGACTCAGATAAGCAACCCATACTAACAGTTACTTATCTCTGCTTATTGGGGTGGCTGCAAGTCACTGCACTGTGGGAACAAACTGCCATTCCGGAGGAATCGCTAAGGCGTTTCATGGTGGTCCATCATAAGAACGATACCTTCGTACCTCAGGGATCGTAATGAGGACTCGGAGTCCAAAGGAGAAGGTGGCCGCGGGAACCCGTTGGGTGGTTGCCCTGGAATGTCATCATCTGCGCCATCGAGGGCATCCATGCTGTCCGGGTCGAGGTATTCAACTGGCCCGTCAACCTCCATTCCTGACATGCAGTTATTGAGTGAGCACGCTCACGGCCGACGTACCACTACACACCTTCATTTGCGTGGTGATTGGCATTTCTCGCCAGATGAGATGGCACATCATCACGAGCATTTGACGGACCTGCAACAGGATCTGCCGGACCGCGTGGTGGTGCAAGGCGAGCCTGCACACGTTGGTGTGCCAGTTCCATTGCCTGTGTGACGCTTGCCTGGCATCGAGGATCTGCTGATCGAGCTACATGACGTGACAGTGCATGCAGTTCAAATCCGGTCATGCCACACCTGGACATTGGTGTGAAGTGCACGCGCCCACGCTGAAGTGTGAGCCACCTGCGAAGTCGCATTGGTGATCACTGAGTCGTCAATTGATAAAAAGTGAGAGACAAGACACACCGGGGATGGTGACAGTCATGCAGACGTGTGCAAGAGCTCCCACTCCGGGTTCCCGCATTGATTGAGTGCCGTTTAGATAGCGAAACAGATTGCAAGGGAGCGCAAGACTGACGGACTGAGCCAGTTCACGAGGCACTCCTTTGGCGACAAGCAACTGCCTGAGATCTGTGACAGTGGTGCAGTCAGATACGACTGCCCAGATGTCAGTGAATGGACGAGAAACACAACAGTCATAAGAAGACAAGACCAACCTATGGGTATACTCGGCCCAGCACAGGGGTGAACAAAGATGGTGTATGTTGAGTCTGCGGCGATCCGCCTTTGATCGTGGAGCGGAAGATGTGTGAAGTGACCTCGGTGCCGGTGTATTTTGACCATCCAGCTTTGGAGTAGGCTTGTGATAGGATTGAGAGTGGCTGTCGAAAGCAGTTGGTCATCAGTTCCACACAAGGCCAGTTGCAAATTTGGGACTCGGACTCACTGCATACTATCGCCAGAGAACAAGATAGCCATACACCGACACCCAGTGTAACACCCATGCCACGTCTGAGAGCCCAGAGCCAGAAGTGATTGAATCAATGTGTTGTCTTCGTAGGTAAGCACTGAAATGCAGGACTCCCAGTGCTGGCGGGGGCCCCGTGCTGACCACAGAACCTGAGACCGTCGACAGATGGAAGAGCCATTGATTGATCAGTGCCGGCAATAAAACAATGAGCAGGATATTGCACACGATGCGTGATGCATGTGCAGTGATTGCAGCGGGGCTTGGTGGACACAGGCTCGCCAGAGCTTTGTTGCGCCATCCTCTCCGGGGAGAACACCCGCCTTGGGGGAGAATCAGCATGAGGTGATCGTACTGCGAGGTAGCAAACAAGCTGAGCGTGGGCGCAAAGTTGAACTTGAGACCGTACACTGGCAGAAGGTTCACAGCCTTGACCGTGAACTTAACCAACACCGTACGATGTGACGCACAATGTGGGCCAAGAGATCGCACGGGTGCAATGAGGGAGGTGGCACCCTCGGGCCGCAGTGTGCAGGCAGAAATGGAGTCCCGGTGGCGGGCTTGGTAACCCATCATGGCGTTGTCTGACGCGGGGACACCCTAAACCACCGCCCGAACTGGTACCTTGAAAATCCACGAGGCCTGTGCGTCCAAGCCCTTGCCCCTCTCCTCCTGACCACCATCACCGTGCCTGTAGAGGAATTTTTTCGGCCCATCCCTCACTCGCTGCAGCCCCCGGTCATGCCCGCGGCACCCACCAGCAAGAAAGGACATGGTGGGAGGAAGTGGACAAGGTGGACTCCCCTGCAGAGACTAGTGCAGAGCACGGGTACACCCGCAGGTGTCCCGAGGTGTACCCGTACCCATACCCGCCCCGGTACCAACCCGTGACAGCGGGTACGGGTTTTGCACGGGTTCATGCGGGTCCGCGGGTCCACAGGTAAGTAGGCAGGTCCACGGGCAAGTGGGCAATCGCGCGGGCAAGTTGGTGGCCAGCCAGAGGTGCGGACACACGAGAGTGCAGGTGAAGAGTGCATGCGACAGGGGCTGTGGGCGAGAGGGAGTGGCAGTGGTCGTTGTGGTTGCAGTTGCAGGAGTGGTAGTGGTGGGAGCAAGCATAGCATGCTTCGGCTTTCTAAAGAATTCTCTCACTGTCGACGCACGCTGGAGCAAAGGCGCGGGCACAGGGCCTGCAGCATTGGAGTTTGGGCGGGGATGCGACTAAGACTGGAATGTATGTGGATGTGGCCATGCGTAATATGGCTGCACCATAGACTACCTGTCACTCGTCGCGACAGCTTCGGGACGGAAGTCCATGCTCGTGCCAGGGTTTGAGGGCGTGGGCATGCTTAGCTTCTCGAGGGCGAGAGAGAGCGACAAGGGCGAGAGAGAGCGACGAGGATGAGAGAGTGTGACGATGAGAGAGTGTGACGAGGATGAGAGAGTGTGACGAGGACAAGAGAGAGCGACGAGAGCGACAGGTTGAGCTGGGTCCCGTCCGAGTGCGTACTCGTATTCGGTGTCCACCCGATCACAGACGACGGGCTTCACATCTGAGCTCGAGGTGGACCTCGAGGTGGGACGAGCAGGGCGGAGCGCGCTTTCTCCTTTCCCTCACCTTTCTTGGGAGAGGCGGGCATGGACCGAGCGGTGGAGCTCGCGGTGGGCTGGGCAAAGCTGAAGGAGAACAAGCATACCCACCCATCCGCCCATCCACTGCCTTGCCCGCCCGCCCTCGCGCCTGTGCCCACATCCGCCCGTCGGCTGTGTTTGCACGTAAGGCATTCGCCCTACGTGCTCACCGTTGTCGTGTGTGTCACGTCCTCAGGCGTGCGGTCCGGTCGTCGGACGTGTTGGTGGGCTCGGCATTTGCCCTGCGCACTCACAGTCGCCGGGCGTGTCGATCTGTGGAGGAACGGGCGGGTGTTGGGTGGCAGCCAGTGAGGGAGGTCAGGGACAGAGATGAGGGAAAGTACTGTTAGTACTCACTTGCTCATCCGCTCGTGATTCCCGCTTGCCTGGTTTCCCGCCCGCTTGCCCGCCCGATTTCCTGTCCAATCTCCTGCCCGGTTTCCTGCCCCGTTCCCCACCAGCTCGCACACCCGCATGCCCGCACGCCCGCTTGCTCACACGCCCGCCCACTCGCCAGCCCGCTTTCCCGCCCGGTAGCCTGTGTTATGCGAAGCTAGGCGAGTGGAACACTACAAGCCACAAGCTTGCAAGGCTACTAACTTCGAAGAGGAGTTCTGTATCTTAGACCGAGGAAGGATGTGAATCCCTTCGTCCTCGTCGAGTTCCGAAGCGGTAGCGGTATGAGGAAGCTAGCGTCGATTGCTAACCAGGTCGAACTGAAGAATCCGACCTCTACTGTGCAGGTATATATACACTTGGATGAGTCTGAGCCAAGACGTATAGTAAGCATGAGATGCGTCAGCGCTGACGAAGGAAGTGGTAATCATGACGAAGAAACAAGTAAGCAGGGGTCAGCTATCACATGATAGTCCGGGTGCGGTATGGTACATAACCGGTCCTCATGCACGTGAGGTGGTTAGAAATAACAAGTAAAAAGAAAAGAAATGTACGTGACATGGCGACTTGTAACATAAGCCCCTTCCTATGGTCGACGTCCGCGTTGACCACTAAGCTTCAGGATCCTGTTCATCTCCACCGTCGTTACCATCCGCATACATGTTTATGTCGCCGTTGAAGTCCCAAGGAGAGGGTACTCGACTTGAAGGTTGGTCTTCAACCGAGTGAGACTCCTCGTTGGACTCGACCAGCACCTGAAGAGATCCGATGTGAGGGATACTTGCTGATCGCCTGTTGGCACGGATCTTGTAGATAGCGGTGTTGGTGTTTCGAGCCGCAACGGCAGGTGGTACTTCCGAGGGGGTAAGGAAGGCGTGATTGGGATCATCGCTATTGATACCAACCGAATACCCTACGACTTCCCCATCTGGACCGTAAACAACTTGCAGGATTCGTCGACCGAAGATTTGGTCGACGAGTTCTTCTGCACTAGTGGACGAAGATGCTTGCGGACCTTCTTCTCGTTGCTGAGCGAGAAGTTGGGCCTCGAGCACGAAGAAGCCGTCGGTATTCATGGACGACAATGAAGAGGGTCGAGGTGTCGGTGCAGCGAGGGGTTCCTCTTCGGAGTACGCTGGGGGTTGGGAGTACCTAGGCGGTGCATCCGCCAGTTCTGCACACGTGGGTTCGATATGGAAGTCTTCCTCCGACTGTGACGTAGGAGGCGACGTAATGCGTGATAGGGGTCGGGGTGGAGGGATTCCTTGGGGTCGACGCGCGTCAGGATCGTTGTGTGCAAGGAGCTCTGGGAATCGGGTGTGCTCCAATGTTTTGAGAGCCGTGGTGAGCGCACCGACAGTGTCTCGTTCATATGCTAAGAATTCGGCTACGATGTCCTGTCATAGATGTCTCCTCATCGTGACCTCGGTTATTGTGTCGTACACGCAGACTAGTGCGTCGAGGGTGTCGTGTTGTTCCGCGTTCGTGAGAGGAATCTCGACAGGGGGGTAGGCGAGGTTGATGAGCTCCATGTCAGGATCGAGGAACAGGTGCTGGACCATCCTCCAGTTTACGCGGGTATCGGGGGCTTCCTGCAGTTCGGGTCGTTCAGAGAAGAGTCGACGAGTTTCGGCGAAGAGGGGAGTGGGGAGGATGGGAGAGGGCGTACGGGCGATGGCAAAGCGAGACATGTCGAGTGGAAAGAGGAGGTGATGAAGGTTCAGAGGACTAGAAGTGGGTTATCGTCTTCGTGGGTGAAGTTGATCCGGACGACTCCAATGTGATGCTTGGTCTTATACTCCAAGAGGAGACTTGCTGGGGAGAGGGCCATGACTGGCAGTACGATCCCTTCGGTACTGTAGCACTTTTTTACAAGTTAGGCAACCTTGACATATAGACCTATTGTCATATGTCTGTTCCCTGCACTGCACAGTTGCAAGCCACCACTTGCAGTCAGGATACCTTCATCAGTGCAATTCTGTCCTGTCTCTTTGCCATCATTGAACCAGATATGACCATTTGTTGATATTATCCTTGCTGTGAAGTGGAATCCACCAAAGTAAATCACCCCACACAGTTGGTAAGAGGTGTTACCTAAGGCAGTGTTAATGTCCACCTTTTTCTCTAGCCTAGTGCAATCTGCCCTGTATACATTAAATGCAATAAAGTTGGGTGCTGTTGTAAGAACTTCTTCATGGATCATAGTTGCATTACAAAAGCGGCATCTAGTTCCAAGTTTGTGCTTCTGGGTGGCTTTGACCCAATGAGAAGTTGTCCGTGTTGTCACATGGCGCCCCCGTGCAATCCTGGAATCCCACAATGCAGCATCCAATGTCCATAGCTTGGTTGAAGAAGTGGTCACATGTTGGGAGACATGGCATGAGGAGCATCGGTCTGTCTCATTGCAGTAGTCCATATCATGAGAAAGCATCTGCTTGCACAGAGCATACAGATCAGACCCTGCAGGAGCTACCATGGGGAATGAGTTTGCATCATCATTGTGCAGCATCTCATGCATTCTGTCCCTGACACTGTTGAGGTTGGTTTTGTTTTGGTGGACCTGCTGCAACATGTCTGTGAAAGCTGAGAGATATTTGTTTTGATGAGCTATATGCTGCTGCCAGTACATGTTCTGTTCTTGGTAAACACAATGCAAAATGCCCAGCAGACTGTCAAATGCACAGCTATATGTCTCTTCATTCCAGTCAAAACAGAGTGGCATATTGCTATTATTTGCCAGTGGTCGTGCTCTCTTTGCTGGCCTGTCATTACTATCTTTATGTGTCCCTTGTCCCAGGGGCCTCTTGCGCATGTTACCACCAGTGTCTATACTCACAGTTGCAAGCTGTACAGCCCCTTTGGCAGGAATATACTTGGCTGCCTGCAAATCCTGTTGGGAGATCTGTTGTGTATCTTCACTTGCTGCTTGCTCAGCAAGCTCATCTGTGCTTCTTTGTTTTGCATTCTTCTTCTTTGGATGCTCTACTATATCCCACTCAGCTTCCTTGTATGGAGCCTCAATGTCAAAGGGCTGCTTCTCAGACCATCTCAGTGCAGTGTGCATGGTCTTGGGCATGTGTTTAGCACCCTTTGTGTTCCTGTAAGCATGGATGAGGGCTACACGGGTGACCCCTTGTACTGTTCGAGACAATGTTCCTTCATATCTCAATTTTGTGATCTCATCTAGCAGCTCCAGTTCTCTGAATTCCTGTCTGAGCCAGCCAGTAACACCACCCATGAATTTAGAGTTGTCAAAGCCCTGGACAATAATGGTCCCCTGATAGCTTGAACCCCTGGACAGACACGTGTACACAGATTGGTGATTTTTGCAGTTCTGGAGGTCCACCACATTGTATGGCCTGGTACGGCCTTGGGAATTGAAATCAGTCATGGCAAAGTTGGGTATGAGAGCCACTTGAGTTCTGTGGATAGTCAGTGTGCGGTCATTGGGCATCAAGCAGGGAATCTTTATTGTCTGAGCAGCAATTGGGACTACATTCTCTGGTAAACCATCAAGTTTGACAGGAGTGGGAGCAGCAGTAAGCTTCACAAATACCACATCCAGCATTCTCTTGTCTCCTGTGAGTGGCTTGGATTCCCATCCTACAACTACTGCCTCTGCTCCATTGGTGACATTGCACTCCGTGGCTTCATTGGCTTTAATCATGACAGGAAGTCCTACACAGAGGGATATTATCCCTGGGTAATTATTGGAATTTTTATTTGGCAATGCCCAGAGTTGATTT